TGGACTACAACCACCATATTGATCGGTCAGCTAAAAGGAGGGCTGATGGTGCTATTCAGTATGTTGTATTTCATGTAAACCAAAGCTGAACTACCTTTGATCTACTTAAACTTTTCTCACAGATACATTTTCAACTCTTAGTCAACTTACTACTAACTGGCCTACATAGTCCTGTCTGTGCGCTTGTTTTTTCCCCATCACTTTGTTTAATTATGTATGATCACTACACTGGTATTTATTTGTTTGAAAGATGGTTTGAACATGTACAATAACTAGTATGTGCATGTCACTGTTTTTTTATATTTTGTCATGGCAGATACTCAAAGGCATACAGCAAGAAGTCCAGGAAATGGAGTCTTCACACAATTAAAGTGAACAAAAACTACATTGCTGACCTCCAGCGATCGATTCTCCATTGCCGGTTTTCTTCAATGTGAGGCTTACCACGGACCTCAACATGTAGGCCTGGTGACCCCCGTGAACGGAGTTGCCTTTCTGGTATCCCTGCCCCGCCAACCCAGGAGCTTTTGGAGAGTCAGCTAAGCAGAGGGCTGGTTGAGTGTCCCTACAATATTGCACTGTAATCCTACATAGGTGTGATACTTGGACCTTACTACACTAAAACCTATTCAAAAATTGACATTATCTATACAGATTTGGATAGGAAATAATAAAATTGTGTACATTTATAGAAAAGGAAAAAAACAATTATAATTATAATAAATAAAAAAAAGTAACAGCCAGAACTCTGTGGCTTCAGTCCCACTCTAATATACATACACGTTTCTCCTTTTTAGTTTCAACAATATATACTCATACATACTCTTATAGACATATGTAAGTTTATTATTACACATTTAACAGTAGACGGTAAATCTATCACAAAACAAAGTAAAAAAGTCATATTTGTTTATATAGCGCAGGTGAATCAAACGTTAAGCCAATAGGTAAAGTAACAATCTTCACACAGATGTAGTTTACACACAATCCTGACCAGGACCAGCAAGTCTTGTCTATTTGAGGACAGTGTTTTATCATGTATATATCAAAACAATGTTATAACAAGCATCCAACTTGTGAACGTACAACGTAAATTATGATTTTCACAGGTTTGAGGTTTAAGATTTTTCTTCCTCCCACTCTATGAGTTTGAATAATATACAAGTAATTGTGAATTAATGATTTACTAGAAAATTGTATGTAGTGACATCTGATAATTAATGTTTGATGTTGAACTCGAAATAAATAAATATACTCTCAACCCAACGTCCAGGCTTGGTTGAATATCTGCCATCATATACAGGGCCGTGTTCCTGCATTCGTAACACTTTGTTGCTATGAAGGTACAGGTGCCTGATAGTATTTCCATCCACAGCCATGGAGTCAACCAAATACAAACATATCTTCGTTGTGGAATGTTGTCATCCAGCATCGTTATTGTAGTTGGTTGAGAAATTGTGGAAAGCTCCACTTCTGTTAGAGATTTTGCCGAATGCTGCCATTTCAGAGACATATTTCATGTAAGAAAAGAATGTCTGTAAGCAGTGTCAGAACGGACTCCGGAAATGGGAAACAGCATAAGGAAGTAAACCGGAAATGCCCAAAAACCCGTCTATACCTATGATGAAAATTACAGGCCTTCATCATCTTTTTAAGTGGGAGAACTTGCACAACTGGTGGCTGACTAAATACTTTTTTTCCCCACTGTATGCTTTTGTTTTAATGATAGCTATATCATTAAATCCTGTTTGGAACGGGGGCTTTTCTGAGTGGAGATTGCATGTTGTCCCCGTGTCTGCATAGGAGCTCCTCTATAGTCCTGTGCAGTGGGTTGGAGGTGTTGTCCATGATGGAGGTGACTTTGGCTAGCACCCTCCTGTCCCTCACCTCCTCCAGAGTCCAGGGAGCAGCCCAGAGACGAGCTGGCCCTCCTGACCAGCTTCTTCTGTCTACTCCTGTCCGGCTCTGTGCTGCCCGGGGCCCAGCACACGGCAGTGTAGTGCATGGCAGAAGCTACTACAGAGTCATCAAAGTCCTGTTCAAGCCACTCGACAAATCCATGATAACCGACCGGTATTTCAGTTTGTTCTCCTCAGACATACAGCCCACAATCGTTGGAGAACCCACAAGTCGTTGGAGAACCCACAAGTCGTTGGAGAACATCTGCAGGTGGCTGCTGTGTGTGTCGTATGTGAAGTCCGAAGTGTAGATGGTGAAGATACCATATCATTTGAAGTTTAAAGTGCTGAGTTGTTTAGTTTTTTTTTTAGTTTAGTTTATTTATTTAAGATGACAAGGACAGTGCACAATAAACATTAACCTCGAAAGGAGAGATGCATTGTACCAGGTTATAGCTCAAGAGCTAATTTCCACCTGTAGTCCCTGGGCAGGCTGATGTTATGTCACATTAAAAAATAACACATTCATGGATGTAGTTTACATTTGGCCAAAATACAAGTCTTTACATGCACAATTTGTTTAAAACTCACATTCATATCACTCATTTATACTGGTCAAACACACACACTCCCCCCCCCTCTCTCTCTCACACACACTCACACAAGCTACACATGAGTGCAAGTTTGGTTTGATAATAACCATTTCTTTAGAAGGCGTGAGAACATGTAAGCATTGGTGCTTGCTATCAGCTCTGTGGGCAGCATGTTCCACTGACGAATGGTCACACAGGAAAAAGCAGAGTTTCCAAAAGCTGTCCTGCGTTTGAGGATCCTACACTCGGTAGATCTTGTGGCTCGTGTTATGTCTGAGCCTAAAGAGATGAACTCTTTCAGTGGAGGAGCAGCGGTGTCATGCAGGATCTTATACAGGAAGCAAAGATTTGTGTGTTTAATTAAGTTGTCAAAGCTTAAGATTTTATGTTTTGTAAGGATATGACAGTGATGGAAACGTCTGCTTTTTTATCGTGGATTTTTAATGAGTTTTTATAAAGAGACTCAAGTGGCCTTAGGACAGATTTAGGAGCTTGAGACCAACTTGACATACAATAAAGAAAATGGGGAACAATCATTGCATTAAGATAGGCTCCTGACGCCTCTGTTGTAAGCGAATTTCTAATGTGTCTAAACTGTACCATGTTATATTTAACTGTATTTGATAATTTCTTTAAGTGTTTTTTAAACCCTAAATTTGAGTCCAATATGACTCCTAAATACTTTACCTGTTCAGCAATTACAATTTTTTGTCCATCAATTAAAATGCTTGGACAATTGGGAATTTTACGAATTTTGAAGTACATTGATACAGTCTTGTCTAGATTTAGGGTGAGACATGATTTTTTAAGCCACTGTGTAACTTTTTTCATCTCATTGGTCAGTTTTTCTGCGACCTCCTCTGCAGTTTTGCCATGGGCATACACCACGGTGTCATCAGCATACATAATAATCTTACTCTTACACACAGTCGGCAGATCATTTATGTAAAGAGTGAACAGCAGGGGGCCCAGAATGGAGCCTTGTGGAACTCCCATGCTGCAAGGTCTTAAAGGGGAATTTATATTGTTAACAGCAACACATTGGTGCCTGTCTTTGAGGTAAGATTGAATCCAAGTTTTAGTATTTATGTCAAGAGAAAAATTAGACAGTTTGCTGATGAGAAGCTCATGGTTCACAGTGTCAAAAGCCTTTCTCAGGTCTAGAAAGATTGCCCCAACTATTCCTCCTCCATCAAGACTGGATTTAATGTCTTCCAGTAAGTAGCAGCATGCAGACTCTGTGGAGTATCTTTTCCTAAAACCAAACTGGCAAGGATGTGATGCATCAGTTTGGTCCAAATGCTCCACTAGCTGCTCTGCTACCACCTTCTCAAAGACCTTGGAGAAGGCTGGAAGGATACTAATAGGCCGATAATTTGAAACACAAAGCTTGTCTCCTGACTTAAATATCGGCTTGACAACTGCTTTTTTGAATGCCATTGGAAAATAATTTTCACTTATGGCTTGATTCACAGCTTTTGTTCCTTTGCTTTACTATTTTTCAGATTTGATATTATTTTGAGAATTTTGCCTTCATCTACACTCTGTAACCTACAATAAGATAAATTGTCATCTTCAACATAGTCAGGGACACAATAGTTTCTTTCAGAAAAGGTCTCAGCCAACTCTGTCACAGAATCCAAGAAATAATCATTATAATGTTTGGCTAGAGTAGAACTCTCTTTTTGGATGAATCCATTGACTTTGAGCTGCAGATGCTCCTGGGGGTGCTTTTCCCTGCCCAGTAATTTATCCATGCTCCTCCATAAGAGTTTACAGTTACCCTTTGCCTCCTTAATTAAATTTAGAAAGAAGTTTGCTTTTGCTTTTCGTAGCTGCATGGTAACTTTGTTTCTTGTGTTTTTAAACTTTAATCTATGGTCACTTCTAATCAGCCCTAATTATACTTGATTAACTTTTCATACTGTAATTGGAGACATTTAGCATCGGCTATTGAATATTGTACTAGTTCACATCAAAATATTTAATACTTTGATAAATTTATTGTGAACTGACATACAATTCAGAGAGGAGGATTTTCATAATCAGACACCAAAGCTTTATAAAATAAGTTTGATGTTATAAGTACATATGTACAAGAGTGGAGTGAAGTTGAGGGGAGGGGAGGGGAGGAGAGGAGGGGGCTCTAGATCAGTACCAGAAAAGTCTGTTGACAAGTGGCGTTTGTCTCCAGCAGATGGCGGTATAAGCAAATGTGTCAAAGTAGCAGCAGTGTATACAGGACCAAAGAGAGAAGCTTCTGTTGTCATGGAGACAGCGGTGGCCTTCTTGTGTTTCCAGTGGATCACAATTCTAAGAGGAAATACAGTGTAAAAGCACAAGGTGTATTATGTTTCTCTTCTTAAATGTTGTGAGCAGCATTTGTATCCAGAAGGTGGTGCTAGAAGCTCATGAATTAAGGTTGTATGAAGGACAAGAGAGAGTTGTTTGTGAATTGAGACAGTGGCTGCCATGTAGGAGTGAAATTCTCAAAGGCACTTGATGGTGTATGTGTGTCTCTAAAGGTGATGATGAAGATGATTAAGACATAAACATACAGAACAAATAAATCAACCAAAGACATTTACACCATCATCAGAAGATTTAAACAGCACATTCCACACGTCACATGATAGAGCCTGTTCAACTCTCAAACTAAAGAGAAAAAAAACTCTCAGACTTATTTTACACGAGTAGATAAAGTAGCCAGAAAAAGGTGCTACTCACTGTAACGTGTGCAGTAATCTATCGGACTGTTGTGATAAAGAGGGAGCAGCGTCTGGAGTCAGCGCTCTGGAAATACCTCCTATATTCCTATCTATAGTCTATACTCCTCCCTCACCTGTCATAAGCTTTGGGTAATGACCGAAAAGAAGAAATTACGGATACAAGACACATTAGCCTGGCCTTAGCCATCCGTACACTCCGCTCAATTTTCATTTCCCTGCATGTAACGTCTGGGTCTGGTCCCTATGTTAGCGATTACAATCGGTTGAATTCCATCCGACCAATCAGCGAGCGCGGGAGGCGGGTGTAGTTAGATGTGGGTGACGTGAAGAGTTTGTGCCGAACGGACAGGTTGCAGTTTGGCAATGGCGAAGAATGCGATAGTTAAGTATTCCGGTCTGGTTATATCAAGAAATTGAAGCCGGAGCAAGGGTAATGTTTAGCAAATGTAATTGATGGCAAAGATTGTGGCGCTAGTCCCCACGGGCTTCGTTAGCGGCAAAGGAGATGGCTAGGCTAAATGCTAACGACTCACTCGGGCGGCCCCACCCACCATCACCAACCATGCACACACACACCACACACATTCTAGGAAATGTGGGTGAAGGGACTTGCTGAAGGGCACAACAACAGTTTGGCACTTTAGAGCGCCACACCTCCCATCAGGCCGCCGCTAGTACCAACTAGAAATAAGAAACGATATGTAAACCGGTATAAGAACTAATTTACCATATCTGTGAACCTCCTGAATGCAGGCCATCGAGCAGAGCGGTGATGGTTTATATCGCTGTTATTGTGTTGTGTTTTTATGTTTGTCTTATGTGAATTTTCAATGTAGCAGCTTGTGAGTCCAAAGACAAATATCCCACGGGACATAATAAATTAATCTTGAATCTTGAATCTTGAATCACACTGGCACCTGGTGTTCCCACAAGTTTCCCATCATAGTACTAAGCAGGTCCTGCCCTCCTTGGCTTTAGAGGTCTGACAGGATCCAATTTTTACCTGCAGGTGGCGCTACTAAACAAAGGAACTGGAGGGGGAAACCAACAGGTACTTTTGAGACACAAATGTAAGGACTTCATAGAGCCGGACATTTGACTTGTTGTGTTTTCTGCATTGTTGAAATTGTACGTGACTGTTTTAAACTGTGCTGTTTTATTGTGTGTAAAACCTGTTTAACCTGGACCAGATACCTTCTTGGCTCTGGATCTATCCAGGCCAATGGAATGTAAAGTTTACCTTTGCTATTAACTTTAAGATGATAAAAAATAGTTTTAAGAATTGAATGTGCTCATCGAATTGAATACAAATAATTTCATTTTCTCTTATTTTCCTTTAAAATGGATTTTCTGAGGGACAGAGCAGCTCTCTGTTTGATCAAGTGACATATAAAACCTTAATATGACTAAACCATCCATAAAACTCAAGAGACCAATTCCAGTCATTTTGTTCTTGTCTTTTGTCCCTTTAATGTTAACAGAAAGAACCACGAAAATTGCTATTTCGATTGTGATCAATCGTCTTTGTAGCCAGATCAATCGTGCAACTGAAGTGCATTTAATCCACATGCGGTATTCGGATGCATCCATGGTGGTTCCCGTTTCCTCTCTGTTCCCTTATCTCTGAGATCTGTTGTCAAATTACGTCTTCGCTCGTGCTTGTGTACTCTCCGTGCGCGCGCCTCTGGGTGTGTCCGCGCCTTATATACGCAGGTGTCGGGTGCGCGCGTCTGTTTGTCTCCTCTAAACTGAAGTGTGAAGTCATGGAGATGTCTGCGCTGCTGCTGCTTCTTCTGTGTCCAGGTAAGAAGCACTAACTCAGCTTCACAACTCACTTTGAACACAACACACTAACTGACGCAAACACTGAGGAAACAGCGCCTTTTGTGAGCACGCAAACTCCGAGAGCGCGCAAGGTCTTCCCGTGTCTATGGCCGGCGCACGGGCTGGGTGCGCACGGGCGTAGAGCTGCAGAAATGAGTTCAAATCACTTTATTACAAATTTTAATGACAAATGTGCCGTTAAGACTTAGATTACTGCATCTGGGGGTGTGTGTTAGAATATGTCGCTGGTTTTAAGACTGTTTTGGCAACTTAAGAAGGTGTGATTGGTAGTTCTGGCTAAAAAGAAAAGAGACAAGAAGAGAGAGAGAGTGACGGTTTTTGGCAACTTAAAAGAAGACACTCTGTCTCTGTCCGGTCTCTCTCTGGTTTCTCCCTGGTTCTGCCTCAAGACATTAGATCGTAATTGAACAAAAACGAACCAAATGAAGCCTAAATTATAAGTATAATTCTGTTATTGTAATTGTTACAGTGTTATTATTGTGTTGTGTACGTGGGTAGACACACTTGAGAAAATGAACTGCGCAACTTGAGAATATTTGGGCATTTTCATGAATTTAGGAGTTCCTCTATTTTTGTATTAGTTTTTCTGAGTAAAGTGACTAATGTGGTAACCAGTATCATTTGAAAGATTTTGATGAATGAGCAAAGGCTATAGACGTGACACCTCGCTCCACAATACAGGTACACCCTATTAATTAGTCAAATAAGTCTTAATAGTTTTTTAGCATGAATACATATTTTCTAGTTACAAGTTACAAGTTTTTTACAGTTACAAGATATTTTTATGGCAAACTGCTCTTGTTTTGTTAGTTAGGGTAAGGGTAAAGCTGCGGTTTGTAACTTTCAGACCACAACAATCGAAGTGACAGGTAGCATTCATGTTGTGGAATTGTATTTCAGTATTTCAGCAGGTGCCAATACAACTCTAAAAGAAAGAATACATTTTGAAAAAAAATGTGTCCTGCTGTTTCCCAGATTATCATTTGATAAAGATTAGATTAACAGAGCCGTCATATTATTCTTATCTGAAAGTCCTTTCCACTGGTCATCATGCATATGTTTTTGAATATTGTCAAAATTTCTAGACACCAAGAAAATAATTGGACCATAGTTGATAGAGGGACAAGTGAGAGACTAGAGAGATCTGAGATTGACCAGCGAGAGATCATAGAGACACCAGAGAAAGAGAGAGACCTGAGGGAGACCTGAGATAGACCAAAGAGAGAGAAATACCTAAGATTGACCAGAGGGAGAGACCAGAGGGAGAGACCAGAGGGAGAGACCAGAGGGAGAGACCAAAGAGAGAGAAATACCTAAGATTGACCAGAGGGAGAGACCAGAGGGAGAGACCAAAGAGAGAGGCCTGAGAGACACCAGAGAGAGAAAATGATGACACCATTATTGATATGTGTTTACAAAGATGTGGAACTTTGTGACCATTTTTGTTACACAAGAAAATTAGCACCCAACTAAGCCTAGAATATATTTACCATAGTGACAATAGTTTCCAGGAAACAACAGGATCTGAAACTACTGCTCTTTGGGATGTGCTGATGTCACTATTGGAAACTATTAGAACAGAGTAATTGGTCCTTGAAGAAAACATGACTTTCAGACCACAACAACTGAAAGGTGATACAATCTTTAAATCTGCTTTTTAGACAGAAAAGTCAAACCATAGGTCCACCCTCACTCAATCATTAAAGCTCTCTGCCCAAAGAGTCAAATAGTGTCTCTCAGGGCTCTTTCTTACGCAAAATGTTTACTTACGTTTTAATTTCAATAGATTATTTCTGTTGGTCAAACTACATGTGTTATTTATGAGACAAAAAGTTGGGGACCTCAGCTTTAAACTCCAACCAATACTTTTGAAATCATTGTTATTTCTTCATCTCACCAGATGGAAAAGGCATCCCATCACAAACTCATCTGAACAACAGAATCAATGGATTTAAATGACTATGATCTTTGTGTCTATAAAACGAAATGAAATGAAAATGAAAAAAAAAAAAAAAATAATGAAATGAAATGATCTTTGTGTCTATAAAACCCCTGTGTAACATTAATGGATATATGAATTTGTGAGGTCTACACCAGTGACATGAATCAATAGGAGGTCAACCAAACTCCTCTAACCCAGCTGGAGGACTGCAAGGGTCTCAGAGGGCGGTCTCCAAGGGTCTCAGAATGAGGTCTCCAAGGGTCTCAGAGTGAGGTCTGGAAGGGTCTCAGAGTGAGGTCTGAAGGGTCTCAGAGGGAGGTCTGGGAGTAAAATGAAGGAAATAGTATTCTTCTTTTAGCCTGAATCCGTGTCCAAACAACACACAACAATGTGTGTTGTGTCCAAACAACACACATTGGACAAATGTTCCATTCATTCCATATGTGTCCAATAGACACTGACACTGACTGTTTGATTATAGACTTCTACTTATGGATACATGTTTAAATTGTTTTATCATTAAAACTATGTTTCTTATTGGAAGAGAAGACTGTTCTATTCAGGGATACACAAGCAGACGCGTTAAAAACTCGAAGCGAATTGGCTGAAATTCTGTCCACACTTTATTGGCCCACGCATTAAAGATTTCCTTCTACTAAGTATCCTTGCATAATTGATTCATTGCCTATGCTAAATGTAAATTTGCACTAATTTTTATTAGAAAACGTCTTATCTTTAGTGTGAGAGTCACTATCTGAGTCATTGGGCTAAGAGTTCTCCTTTTCACATTCAAGCAGTGGTAGGCAGCAGTCTGAAAATTATAAAATATATTTTGTCATTTCATGTTTTAGAATGTGAAATAAGATCTTATGTTGAAAATATATAATGAAACAAGTCAGAAGGGTAAAAAATGCCTGTAACTCTCTATGCTGCTTCCAGTGGGAAGAGGATATTGTTTTGTTTTTTTCTTAGATTCATAAAAAGACATCTGCTTATAAAGACCTTGAGAAGTTTCCTAAACTCGTTTATGGGCAATAGTTTTGTTTCAAAAAGAAGAAAACTGATGGTACAATTACATCATGCTATTGTAGGAGTGAGAGGGAAGGGGCAGAGATACACGTTTGTGCCATAACTTATATCATCATGGATGGATCTAAACACAACTCCAGGTCTGTGACTAATGATGAACAATTATCACAAAGTTTGATAAGTCTCCTTTAAGGCTTTAAATGGAGTTATGTATTACTATTTATTTGTTTGGATTCCCATCAACTTGTCTTCCTGCGGTCCAAGTCTCCTGTGAAATTATTTGAATGTTCTCTTCCTCAGCCCTGGCACTGTCCCAGGTTGACATCCTCCCTGATGGCCCCCTGGAGGAGCTGCTGGGGACTGACGCCACGTTCAAGACCCTTCTGCAGAATCCCAAATTTGCGTTTATCATCTGGAACTTTAACAACGGTAAGGAGCAGATCCACGTCTCCACTCTGGGCTCTGAGGGAATGAAAACCAACACTCCGTACGAAGGCCGCGTCGACATCTCCACAGACGGCCACCTCACGCTGCGAAAGCTTACGGCTGCGGACAGCGGCGAGTACAGCATCAACGTGATCTCGGGCTCTGGAGCCACACAGACCGCAGAGATAGACCTCAAAGTCATTGGTAAGAACTTTTATCTTATTAGGCTCCAACCCAAAGTAATGTATTTATTTTATGTGGTATTGTAGGTATTAAACAAAAACTCGGGAATATTTTACTGGTACAAAGGTCAGTAACGTGTGGGACATTTTAACCCAAAATTAAATTTTGTTTTGTTTTTATTAGAAAAAATTATTGCGTGCACGTTAATTATTTTTTTTTGAATGACCCGCCCAATCATCCCAAAAGTTATGATCTATTACACATGCGTGTGTAGATGGCGACAGAGCAGGTTGTTTGTGCTGTTGTTTGCTGTATGTACTGAACGGGAGTCTGCATCCTCCTGCAGCGTTCTGACCCGGGGCAGCTGCGGCCACATTGGGCAGAGGTTCCCACCTCCGGCGCCTGTGAGCCGCTAACAACAACACGGCGCTGCCGTAACGTCACGCGCACAGGACTATTCTCTGCTTATTGTGTGCATAACCTGTGCATGCAATAAATACACCTCTGAAGCTGGACCACAGAGCCTCAGTCCCCTCCGTGTCTCCTCCTCCGTGTTTCCTCCTCCGTGTCTTCTCCCGAAGCGCCCTCGTTAAATTAAAGCTGGGGTACCTAATTTTCCTGTTGGTTGTGCCCTAAAGTAATGGTGTGAGAAAATCAAACATATTTAATGACATTCTGCACAATGCTAATATGCATAGCACGACAAGTTTTTTTAGTTTTTCAACCCTCTACGGTTGAAGGAGGTGAATATATTGTTCTGGTAAATAGTTAGAACGCCATCATCAAGAAAAACAGAGACAGAGGGACTAAGAGAGCCATGATTTTGCACATCTGTGTGAAGATGGTTATCAAACTGCACACAGGCTTGATGAGTATTAGAGCCAACTCTAACAGGCTCCATGAGGACTAGAGCTCACTCACTCAAGCTCCATGAGGTTTGGACTTTGCAAGACTTAACAACTAAGAGACGATCAGGAGCAGCACCAATCTGTCCCCATTCGCGCCACTCACTGCTGAAGCCGATTGTGAGAACAGAAAGCTCCTTATTGGTCAGATGTTGTGGTTCATGGCTTGATTTACAAAGACAATATCACAACATAAAAACCAGGATCATAGTAAGCGCTAAAAAAATTCCTTAGCCAAAATGGTGAGTGTGACACAGTTTCTGAGCTAGAGAAGTTTTCCTTTCCATGTAAGTCAATAGGAGCCAGAGTGAGCTGGACAAAACTTTGTAAATGAGCACTTTCAATTGGATAGTGCAAGCGGACCTTTGAAGGGCTCTTTCATGGCTCTTGAATCCAGGTGAATACTGATGAGCCAAAAAATCCTGTGGGCCAAAAAATTACTGAGTAAAACATCAGTGAGGAATAAGAGGAACCTGTTACATCATTGGTCACCTGTAAACCCTGAGAAACCACCTGAAGGCGACAGACCGAAACTGAAGAGAGTGAGAGGAGGAAGAAAGGGAGGCAGAAGCAAGAGGAGAAGGAGGAGCAAGAGGAGGAGGAAGAGGAGGGTGTGGTTCTGAGAGAGAGGAGTGGGGGGCAAGTCCTACTACTGTGACTTCATACTATTCTGTTTCTATATTAGACTTGCTGCTTCAGAATTATGTTATGAAGTTGTAGGTTTCTACATGATGTGCTCTTGACTGTAGAGAATGGTGATTATTGCCACAAAGATGCATCTGGCTGCTGCGTGGTTTGGTGTGTAGAGTTATCATTGCATTTATTGTATTAGAACTGTTTGATTTTGTTTTGATGTATTCAACGGTTAAAAGAATATTGTGACTTAAGACTGAATTGAAATGTCTCTTTATAGGTATTTGTTCCAACGGCCTTCGCTTTGTGTTTTAACAGGAGCAGATTTGACATGTGTTGCTAAGATGGTTGCTAGTTCAAGCTTGAGTATCCTTTCTGGTAGAATATGGCGGAAGATGGGCATACTCCCCTTATTTTGATAAATAGCATAACAAGCTATATTAATTTTAATACATATAGCTTAAACTAATATAGATTAGCCTGTTTGAGTTGGCTGATCATTCTTCTGATCAGAAGAATGATCAGATTCAGGTTTGCAGTAAAACCACTTACCTGTGCAAGCGTACACCAGATAGTACACACCAGAGCTCGTGCCACGCAAGTCTCTGACCTGCAAGTCCATGTCAAGTCCATGTCCCTTGCCCAGGAGTCTAAGGCAAGTCCAAGTCTTTGGACCCTCAAGACCCGCAAGACCAAGTCAAGTCAATTTCCTTTCGCATTAAAATGAAGGCAAATACAAATTAAAAAGGACAAAAAAATGTGCATGTTGTGTGAACAAATATATATATATATATATATATATATATATACCGTATATTACAGATCAAATTTCACTCTCTTAAATGTGTACTAACTGAGAACAGGGACGAATAAATGACCTTCTATACAAAAATACAATGCAATGCAAAAGTGTTTAATGTTATAACACCATTAACTAGTCTGTATGCTACTATCATTATAGGAATCTTCAACTGAAGATTTCTCAGAAGCATCTTTCCAAAGACTTGCTTTTCTATATAGGCTATGGGCCACATTTAGATTGTTTTTGTTATGAGCTGCACATTCTGAATACAATCCACAAACAGTGAAATATAAAAGGAAAGGTTATAACTGCACCTAAGTTACATCATACACAAGAAGTTCCCTGCGATATTATTAGCATAACCTAACCCTGTGAGAACCCAAGTTAAACAAGGTATAATGTACCCTGAGTCATCAATGCTTGTGCCACAGCATGCTCCCGATTGTTCTGGCTACGGAGGTTATTGGTGTGAGCTCTTCTTCAATCTTTAAAATCAAACACAAATGACGCATAAAGTGATGCAGCCAACACGTGCATTGGAGAAGGTTCCTGTCCTGTGCAAATTTATTTATAAAGCACCATTCATACAGAAGCCACCCAGGGTGCTGTACAGGCACAACTAGATACACATACATAAAAATGATTCAACCTGGAGAGACTACAAGAGACGAGATGCGTTTAAGAATTGTTTATTTTATGGATTGAGTTTGGTTATTGGTTTGGAGCTTAGGCCCCGGCTGTGGCCGTGCTCCGAAGAGATCTGCGCCTGGGTGCAGATCATGATCCCCCGGGGCCTAGACACTGGTGGTGGCAACAAGCAAGGTGAATGTGAGAGTGAAGAAATCCTGAGGCGGAGGTGGGGAGGAGGTGGTTGCAGCTTGAAGTCCGTTTGGTGAGCTGTGCTCTGCTGTTCTCTTAAACGCTGGCTTGATTGACACGGCTGCGGGGAGTTGATTAAGACAGGCTGAGTAAGGCGTGGTCAAGCCTGGTGTGATAACGTAGGTAGTCTACCATCCTGAACCTCCGCTTCAGCTGCATTTCAACCTGGAGAGACTACAAGAGACGAGATGCGTTTAAGAGTTGTTTATTTTATGGATTGAGTTTGTTTATTGGTTTGGAGCTTAGGCCCCGGCTGTGGCCGTGCTCTGAAGAGATCTGCGCCTGGGTGCAGATCATGATCCCCAAAAAGAGAGCTTGGCTAGCGATGCGTTTGCCACGTCTTGGTTGCTGCGTTTATGGAAGGCGCATGGTGTGAGTGACTGTTTCCGTGCGCGAGCTCGGCTCTAGCGCTAGGCGTTGGCACGCGCGCGAGCTCGGCTCAAGTGCGCGGCGTAATGTCCGTGCGCAAGCTCAGCTCTAGCGCTAGGCGTTGGCACGCACACGAGCTCGGCTCGAGTGCGCGGCGTAATGTACGGGCGCGAGCTCGGCTCTAGCGCTAGGCGTTGGCACGCGCACGAGCTCGGCTCAAGTGCGCGGCGTAATGTACGGGCGCGAGCTCGGCTCTAGCGCTAGGCGTTGGCACGCGCACGAGCTCGGCTCGAGTGCGCGGCGTAATGTCCGTGCGCGAGCTCGGCTCTAGCGCTAGGCGTTGGCACGCGCACGGCTCGAGTGCGCGGCGTAATGTACGGGCGCGAGCTCGGCTCTAGCGCTAGGCGTTGGCACGCGCACAAGCTCGGCTCAAGCGCGCGGCGTAATGTCCGTGCGCGAGCTCGGCTCTAGCGCTAGGCGTTGGCACGCGCACGGCTCGAGTGCGCGCCGTGCTGGAATGAGGAGTTTCCACCACCAGGAGATGCATACGTACTTATATGAGAGGAGGCGCTGGGCTGCCAGAACGGATGAATGTGGTAGAGAACCAGGGACCGAGCTCCTGAAGAGATGATTGAGGGAGTCCCAGGGCAGCAGCCCAAGTGGCTGCTCCTATCCGGAAGGAGTGGCGGATGTAGAGAAAGGAAGAGAGGTTACATGCAGGGAGCGCAGGTTTTGAATTTGTTCAGACCAGGGGGTCGTCAAGGGATTGTTTAAGGAGTAATTATAGTCTATGAATGTTGATAAAATGTCCATACATGTTGTAGAATGTAAAGTATCCTGGATCATCACCACGGGCCTTCTAGTTGGACACTACTGTCCAGACCCTCCTGCATGGCAAGGAAAACTCACAAAACCCCGTGGGGAAAAAAGTGAGAAACCTTCGGAAGACCCTACATGAGAGAGGGATCCACTCCACGGACAAACAGGCTAGTCGTCCAGGACCTAAACTACAGAACAAGGACCATTGCCAATACTCCTTTAAGGATCTTCTTATGAGGGTGGAGCAGTGTGACTCTAAGTGGATTTTAGAGAATGTATTTAATGCCGATGTAGATGAGGCAGTGACAGCAGTACCCGCCGCGATGCTGATGTCCAGAGACTGAGAGTGTGCAGTGAGAGGGAAAGGAGAATGCTGAATGAAAGATGAACTGCTGGTGTTTAGAGCGCTGATATTCAAACATGATTCCACTTGGGGAGACTAGAAGGTGAAAATGAGATTCATGAAGTACACTTACCCAGGAAGATTGATGTTCGATAGGAGATCTCTGGACCCCCAAAAACCAACGCACAAGGGCCCGGTCAGAATGAGGGCCAGGGTGCGTCAGGTAAGGCGAAGCGTGAGACAGGCCCGGCGGCAGGAGCCGCACCAGGAGACCAGGAGAGAATATGCCTGGGGAACATGAGAAGGAGCACCGCCTACAGCCACTCAGAGTGCACGCAAACCGTGGCGGGCAGTGCTGCACACCAAAATCCAATGAGTGCGGCCTGGGGAAGATAGTCAGCCAGGTTTGAAGACCACGCCGAACAGTACTCATGCAGTCTTAGCAGGCCAGCGTTGCAGCAGGCCACCGTCGCGGCGTCGTAGCAGAGCTTTGGTGCGGCGTTGCGGCATCACGTTCCTGCGAAGCTGAAAAGAGAAACCTCGAACCACTATCACTCGAGTGAAAAGGACCAACGGGCAGTGTCAGACCACGTCTTCAGTCAGACCACGTCTTCAGTCAGACCACGTCTTCAGTCAGACCACGTCTTCAGTCAGACCACTGACCTGATCCTTCGATGCCGGCTCTTCCCGTCATTGTGAAGCAGAACTCTCCAAGCGTTTGATTGTTCACCCACCAATAGGGAACGCGCGTCCATGGTCGACACTGGTCCCACAATGAATGGATGAGAGCACGTGAATGCGTCGAAGCGTGGCGTCGAGACTGCGGCAGGAGGCAGACACCGACGTGGCGTCAAACAGCGGCCACCGGCGTGGAAGCGTGCGGCGACCGACGTACGGCGATGAAGCGCGCGGCCGCCGACGTGCTGCGATGAAGCGCGCGGCCGCCGACGAGCTGCGATGAAGCGCGCCGCCGCCGCCGCCGAGCTGCGATAAAGCGCGCCGCCGAGCTGCGATGAAGCGCGCCGCCGCCGCCGAGCTGCGATGAAGCGCGCCGCCGCCAACAAGCTGCGATGAAGCGCGCGGCCGCCAACGAGCTGCGATGAAGCGCGCGGCCGCCGGCGAGCTGCGATGAAGCGCGCGGCCGCCGGCGAGCTGCAATGAAGCGCGCGGCCGCCGACGTGCGGCGGCGATGAAGCGCGCGGCCGCCGACGTGCGGCGGCGATGAAGCGCGCGGCCGCCGACGTGCGCCGGCGTCGAAGCGTGCGGCGTCGTTGAGGCGTGCGCCGTTGTTGAGGCGTGCGGCGTCAAAGCGTGGCGTCGTCAAAGCGTGGCGTCGTCGAAGCGTGCGGCCACCAACGTGGCGTCGTCGAAGCGTGCAGCCACCGACGTGGCGTCGTCGAAGCGTGCGGCCACCGACGTGGCGTCGTCGAAGCGTGCGGCCACCCACGTGGCGTCGTCAAAGCGTGCGGCCACCCACGTGGCGTCGAAGCGTGCGGCCACCCACGTGGCGTCGTCGAAGCGTGGGGCCACCGACGTGGCGTCGTCGAAGCGTGGGGCCACCGACGTGGCGTCGTCAAAGCGTGCGGCCACCGACGTGGCGTCGTTGAAGCGTGCGGCCACCGACGTGGCGTTGTCAAAGCGTGCGGCCACCCACGTGGCGTCGTCGAAGCGTGCGGCCACCCACGTGGCGTCGTCGAAGCGTGGCGTCATCGAAGCGTGGCGTCGTCGAAGCGTGGCGTCGGCGAAGCGTGCCGTCGTCGAAGTGTGGCGTTGAAGTGTGGCGTAAGGCCAAAGCAATGGGCAAACAAACAGCACAGAGGGGCTCGGCCGCGCTCCGACCAATCAGAGCAGCTCATCAGACACGGACAGCCCGGAAGCAATGCAGTGGGCAAAACTTACAGTCCACGGTCAATTAGACAGAGCGAAGGCCAATGCAGACGACAAATGTTATAGTCCATGGTTACAACTGACAGCCTGAAGGTCAATGCAGCGGGTAAAATGTTCAGTCCATAGTAAAACGGACAGCCTGGAGGTCACTGCAGTGTGTAGAATGTTCAGCCCATGAGTAAAACGAACAGCCAAGAAGGCCAACACAGTGATTAAAATGTGCGGTCCATGGTGAAAACGGACGGTCTAATTGCCAGTGCGGATGGTAAAATGAACAGCCTGAAGAGCAATGCATCGGGTAAAAACACAGCCTGCGAGCCAATTCGGCGGGAATAACTGACACGCCGCAGTTCAGTACAGTTCATGGTAGTGCGGAAAACAACAAAACCGACACTGTACCGTGAGTGGAGGCATGGAGAAGGGTGGACAGCGCAGGCAGACAACGGCAGGCAGACAGAAGTCCCGTTCCCGGTATGGAAGCGGCAGGGTGCGCGGAGTAACGCCTGGCCGCGAGCAGCAGCGGCCACGGGGAGACGAGCGGCAGCGAGTCCGCAGGAGAGGACCCGCGGTGAGCCGAGGTGGAGACACAGCGACCATGGCGCACAGCCCCCAACATGTGATGTGGAAGAGGAGCCGCGACCATGCAGGACGAACAATGTGCGAGGCGTGAGTAACAAAGTGACGAAGAGCAACCCGTTGCAGCTTGAAGTCCGTTTGGTGAGCTGTGCTCTGCTGTTCTCTTAAACGCTGGCTTGATTGACACGGCTGCGGGGAGTTGATTAAGACAGGCTGAGTAAGGCGTGGTCAAGCCTGGTGTGATAACGTAGGTAGTCTACCATCCTGAACCTCCGCTTCAGCTGCATATCTGTAATAGTAATAGTAACAAATATATATACATACACATACACACTAATGCACCAGGGCTGAATAATCTGCACTGCTATTGCCTGTTTCTGTTTGTGTTTCTTTGATTGCCACATTTTTACTGTACATAATGTGTCCTGCACAGACTATATTTTTTTAACCTTAACATGTTGGCACACTTCTGTCTTTTGCACAATCTGAGTTATTCTATCTATGCCCAGTGATGGGAATAAAGACGTTACTTTTTTCAGTAACGAGTAATCTAACTAATTACTTTGACTGTAACTATAACGCCGTTATCATTGCCAACACCCCGTTACTGCACGTTACTCCCCTGAGGCTGGAGCGCATGTGAGCGCAGAATTCGTCTGCATACAATTCCATCAGAAAGCTCCTTTTTTCTTGTTCTTCTGCTAAGGACAGCAACAAGTTTGGCTAACATACACACAGTATAACATATTTTAAGATAATTCAAAATGCACTTAGGGTAATGTTTCAATAACGATAGGAATGATAAGGAAGAGAGGCGAAGGGTAAGAAGTTTGATTTTCGAAATTGGATGCACCTGAGAGTCGGCTGCAGCAAAACACAGAGGAGGCAGACACGCGTTTTGTTTTACTTTTTAAAACTCATTGGACTTATTTCCAAATGGAGGATTACATATCTACGCTCAAACTATTATCTGGACTTAAACAGGGGCGACAGTAGCTCAGTTGGTAGAGCATTGGCCTTTAGGCCTGAAGGTTTCGGGTTCAATTCCCACCGTGACACCTTCTCCACCGACTCCCACTGATGTCTGCTGTCGTTGTGTCTTTGGGCAAGACACTTAACCCGACTTTGCCCAAAGCCCCCGCTGAAAGATCACGGCTATGCTCACATTGACAGAGCAGCCATCCTCCTGTGGACTCACCACCTGCAGAGGATCAGTGAGGGGCTGGTGCTATGTGACTTGGGTGGCATCTCTGACTGCCACCCCCCTGACCCGGAAATGGATTAAGGGGTAGAAAATGGATGGATGGATGGATAAACACGGAACTGGTCTGAACTGAAGTGATCTGTGCAGGTTAGGGTTAGGTAAGGCCCATAACGCACGTGATTTTTCATAGTTATGCGTTTTGTATGAGCAAACAATGTTGCCTGGCCTGCCAAACGATATGCTTTTTCAAAGACATATAGTCTGGGAACGAGCTTGATCTCAGCGAATTCCCGGTGGGCGTGGTTGACAGACTGCATCAACCAATTAGATGCACACAGGATATGACGCAGCAACTAGCGGCACCCAAGCCGTTTCAGTAAACACAAAACAAGGGATGGCGGCATGTCAGCTAGTGCAAATGTAAACGACTGCTGTCAATTTTGTAACAAAAACTTAAAGATACGAGGAGTTATTAGCAACTCAAAGGTGAAAGGAAGTCCCGCCTCTCGGTGCGTGATTGGACCGATGTGGGTAAAATCGTGAAATGATAGACTAGGAAGAGGTGTCCAGACGGTTCTTCTTTTGAACAGAAAGGAGGAGTGTCTGGCAGGCCAGGCAACAAACAATGCGGGCATGAAACATATTCTGCTGTAGCCAAACAAATTGTGAATAAGCTGCTCTGTGGGTCCTGTTGATTTATATGATAATGTTTATCTGATTGGGGTGAAGTCAGTGCCTCACCAACCTCACGTCCCCGGTGTTTCCACATTCACAGTGGCGGGTGTTGGTGTTTAGTGCTTACAGCACAGAGAGAGATGGAGAGTGAGGAAGACTCCAGCAGCAAAGCAGCCTTTTCCAGAAGGAAATATCGGCACTATTTAAACTCACTGAGGTTAAAGGTAAAAATGTGCACGTCGAGTGCACATTATGTTCCAGAACAAAATGAAAAAGTAACGCAATAGTTACTTTTACTGGTAACTAGTTACTTTTATAGTGGAGTAACTCTGTTAGTAACTCAGTTACTTTTTGGGAGAAGTAACTAGTAACTTTTTCAAAGTAACGTGCCCAACACTGTCTATGCCAAATGTGACATGTACCCACTGAGCTGCTGCACTTTGGGGAAAGACACATCTCACACTTGTTCACATTGACTCTGATGCAAAGAACGCAATTTGTGCTCGAGCTGTTAGCCACAGTTGCAGAATGTAAACAGGAAGAAAAACAGAAACTTAACTCTTGACAACGAGGTAGTTGCTGAAGTTAGTATTAGCGCCACCAGCTGGACCGAGCGTTGTACTACAGCGCATTTGGTCTGGAACGGTTGAGAAAATAAACCCTTGTGATCGTGGGCCGTCTTCACACCATGTGGCAACAATCCGGGGCACTTGGCCTTGTTCGTTTGTAAAAACCTATTGTAATCGTGCCCTACATGTCTCTAGTGTGAGATAAAGTCTATCTGAAGTGATGAGTTGATGACATGAGGAAAGGCCAACCGAAGGTGAGAGGGAGGAGGGCTGCAACACGAGGTCTTGGTCAGTCTGTGTACAAAGCCCTGTTTCCATCAGGCCTACTTGCTAAACTCTACTATTAATGGGCCTCATGTATGAAACTTGCGTACGGCCAAATCAAAGTGTAAATGAGGCGTACGCAAAAAACCTACACTTTTCGGCATATATCAATCTGGACGTGAGCGTACGGTACGCACAGAATTTACACCAAGGAGGTGGTGTAAATGTGTTCGCTCATTTCAACCTTCATCACAACACGCCAAAACACGCAAATGCAAGATTCGGACAACAATAAACATATTCCCACCCTGGCAAAATTATAAGCTGCGTTTTCATTGAGCATCATGTTTCAAAATTTGAATTCGCACATCTGAAAAACTCAAACACTCTGGAAACACACAAATGGATCACAAATCATGTTACATTTATGATGAGGACCCTCTTCTGTTTTTTTGTTTTAAATCTGACTTGTGTGTATTTTTTTTCATCTGTATGTTTTTTTTATTTTTTTTATGTGAAGTGCTTTGTGATCCTGGTCTGTGATCAGGTGTATATACAAATACACCTGGCTCACTTACTTAATGTGTGCCCATCTATTTCTCCGTAAATCTGTGGCAGACCCTGCGTAATTACGCATGGCTATTTGTTTTGTCTCATTCACCTCTGGCAAAGCAACTTATTTCTTCATTAGTTATGCAGCGATGGCAGAGAAAAGTCCTTTTTTCTGTGGGAACGGGCTCCCACCGTGAGACTCATACGCATCCTTTGTTTCTCATTGCTCCATTGCATTCACAAGAAGATGTCGCTGACGTTTGACCCAGATGAGAGTCACCGCTGAGACATTAATATTCATTCATTCATTCATTTCTAAAGAGATGAGTGCTTCAGTGGGTCTAGACACTAGGAAAAAAATGCGTATATATAATATAGCTGTTTTTTTTTGACAAAATAATACAATAAAACTCAATATAAACTCAGTGCTTGTCACTAACAGGCCTTCTGATGTTTCCAACTAGACTTACTGGCCAGCTTCCATGCTGACCTGACGTAAAAACGGGGCGTTTTCTGAATATTTATAGGCGTGAATTTCATAAATACGCTTGTTTTCACCGCAGCATTTATCAACAGCCGCTTATGTGTTCGCTCATATCTGTGCGTATCTCACACGTTCATAAATCCCGCATTCAGTCTGGTGTAAATGGAATATACACCAAAAATATACACCCTTTTTGCGCAACTTTCATAAATCAGGGCCATTGGCTCTATTCTACCCCAAGCTAGTAATAAAGTGTTCTGACTGTCCGGAAGGAACCTAGGAATTCCCGGATACTTGTTTGTTGAGGGTAGGTTGCTAAGATATAGTACCTGATACTACAGCGTAATAGAAACTCTACCAAGTAGAGTAGAGCTGAGTGGAGCAGAGTAGAGCAGAGTAGGGCTGGTGGAAACAGGGCTCTATTCTCAGGTCTGGTCTTTGGTCTTGTGAGTATAGCACACTTCTATGCTGACTGTCCTTGGAGGAATGCTCTGAGGTG